GTCTTTGTTTGCCAGCCTGGACTGGAGCTTCGTGTGGCTCAGCTGTACCAGTTCCCTGGTATCTGTCGTGCAGCTGAGTTAGTTTGTACATGGGAAGGAGCTGTGCCCAGATTTCACTAGGCACAACAGTCAGCATGTGCTGACCTCCTCTCTTGGCCCCAGGCGAGTCAGGAGCAAGCGGTGCAAAGAGCTTTTGCCTGTGAATGACACCTTGAAGGCAGGGGTGCGTGGCCAGCTGCCTGGGGGACAGGCAGGGTGAGTGCCTCAGGGCACTCTCTCAGGGGTGAACGTGAGATTTCATAGAGACATGTTTATGGCAACAGAGATCCCATTAGCTGTCTGCTTTTTTTCAGGGCTCCTGCTCCAAGAATCTGCTTCTTGGAAAGCACAGAGAAAGCCCAGCTGGGCCCAGAAGGAGCTGCTTTGGGAGAAGACACAGGATGATAATGCCAGGAGAGGTTGGCCAAAGCCTGTGGAACAGACCTGAACTGCAAGGCCTGGCCTTAGCCTATGAAAGAGCAAAGTGTGGTTGTGGTGATCTGTGGACCTTGAGTTAAAAACTGAAGCTCTGGAGAGGGAAAAAAAAACATTCAGGCACTGCCGTTCCTGGTCTGTAAAGGGACCCATCCCACATCAGCCCTCCTGGCTGGGTGTGCTGGTGGCACAGCATGGCATGCAGTTGCCAACTTCTCTGTAGAAGAGTGAAGAAAAAAAAAAAACACCACACTAGCTGCAGGTTTTTGGCAGTAGCCCTGCTGACCGCAGTATGAACATTGGGCAAACAGGAGCTTGTGGCAAGACCTGGCCTCTTGGGCTTTGCCTTCACTCTGAGTGTGGAGAATCACCCCCAGCGGGTCCCCAGCACCTGGCAGAGCCCATCCTCTGCTCTGCTTTCACTGATGCCATGTGGAGGGATGCCGAAAATCACACTGGGGTAGCCCTGCTCGATGTGTCCGTGGGACGGGATTTACTCCCTCCATCTCCACAGAGGATGGACCCACACATTTGCAGCCAGGAAAGGAATGTCTCACCCTCCTTCCCTGCCATGCAGCGGCCAGCTGCCCCTCGGAAATGCCTGAGAGGAGCCCAGCTGGCAGGGTCCGGCCCCTGCTTTGTTCCAGGTCCTTGCAAGCATGTCAGCTATTCTTCTCTCGCTGCGTGGGAGCCTGGTGGTAGGTATCACAGCCCCATGCAGCTTGGCCATCAGGCATGGGTCAGGGGCTGCAGCAGAGCCCATTGGCCAGCCATCATCCCCTGCCACGCCAGCCCCGACCCTGGCCGGGCTGGTCTGTGCTGTGGGAGCTGAGCAGCAGCCGGCAGGGTGGCCATGAGGTTTCTGAAGAGCCAGGGGAAAAGCCACCCCATACCAGGCATCACAGCCTTCACACAAGGGGATGTACCATGGAAAATGGATTTAGACAGGGTGTCGAGAAACTACACAGCCCCACCATGGGGACGTGGGCAAATTATTCCTCACCGACAGGTCCTGCTCTCTCCTGGGCTTCAAGCTCTCCAGTGATGGAGATGCCACAGTAAGCCTCAGCTTTATTGTTTTTGCAGGGAGAAATATTTTCCTAGCAGCCAATCTAAATCCTTCCTGCTTTATTTTAAGCCCACTTCATCTTATCGGCAGCAGTCACAGAGAGCGTATTATTGCCTTATTTGCTCCTACCCCTCATGTATTTCAGAATTTTATCATTGCACTCGCTATTTCCCTCCTTCTCCGCCAATCTTCTCTTCTCTAGACTAAACAAATGCAATTCTTTCAGGCTTTGGCAGAATATCTGGGCTTTATTAAGACTTTAGGCAATGCTTTATAAGAAATTTTTATTAGTAAATAAGGGAAGGCCTAATAGAGCTGTAATGAATCCAGTATTATTCAGTATAGAAGATAATATAATTGATAACTTAAAAGTCCAACATAATTTACATCACCACTGGTCCACCTAAACCAGCATCCAGTCTGACAGCAGCCAACAGCAGGTGACTAGGAAGGAAGAGTAAAGAGAAAGAGAAGCACGCGTTGCTATTTTCCTGAAGTACTTTCCTTGTTGCCAGCAACTGGTGGCCAAGATTCTTCTTGAGCTAGATGTGATGGTCGGTCTGTTTAATAGCCCTTGGTTGGTTTATTCTTCCATGAATTTTTCTACTCCTGTTCTGAATCCATGTAAACTTTTAGTGGTGCCATATCACCAGCTGCAAGGAATTCCAGAATTCACTAAATGTGTTCAGAGACCCCTTTGGTTGGGACCTCATGCTCTGTTGTTTGATGGTTGCTCCTCACTCATCTTCTCCACGTGCCCCCTAATTGTGTATCGAGTTAGCGACCACCTCTGACCTCTCAGCACTGTGAAAAACTCACTGTTTACTTCTTTCTCTGTTTTTTTGGGGAGTAGGGGTTGGAGGGGTGGGTGTTAACCTGTTTTCTTTAATTCACAAGACTTTCCCTCTTGCCCTGTGTCAGTTCAGATTCTTGAAGAGCCTTTGGACAGGAGTGTACTAGACCTTGCTTTTCTTCCTCGTCTTATATAGCCCTCCTTCCCCCAAATAGCCGAAGGACCGCAAACGGTGCCCGGCTCCCCTGACACTTGCAAGCAAAGCAGAGGTCTGGGGTTTCTCATTAGCATCTGTGAAGCTGTGCCAGATGTCAGCTGCAGCCAAAGGAGCAGGTCTCTGCTGCGAGCAGGCGGGTGTAGCACAGGGCCCTTCGCTGGCATGCAGCGGCTTCAGGCTCAGATCTCCTTCGCCAAGCGAGCAGCTGAAGTGGTGAGAGGCATCACCACCGCTGTGTCCCCTTAGAGCTAGCCTTGGGCTAAGTGCTAGCTCACAGCCTGGTCTTTTAGCATAAGCTTTCCTTCACCAGCAGGTTAGTCCAATAGATTCAGTCGGGAACAGCATCCAAGGCATAGCTATGCAGCCTGTTCTGCTGCTGTGGGGATGGCGATTTCCAGCCCCAGGGGCAGGGAGCCAGCTGGGGCAGCACCAGCATAACTCAGGGCAGCCAGTTTTGCTGGAAGGAGAGCCCTCAGGCAGCCTCCAGGCAGAGCCGTGAGCCCCACAAATGTGGGCTGCTGGCTGAGGCTGAAGCGCGTCCTATTAGCGTAGCAGCAGGATGCCCAAAGTAAACCCTGTTTGTGATGAAAGGAAGGCAATTAAAATTCCACTTCAGCTGCCTTCCTGTCCCACTTCCTAACCTTCCAGCGGCAGGTGATTAGCGGGGCCTGCCTTCTGCTGCCCTCGCTCAGCTGTGCCAGCGGAGCCCCGCGCACGGCCAGCTGCCGGCACGCCTGCCGAAGCACAGCAAGGACACCGGTTCTGCTGTTGAGTTTGTCTCAACTTAACGTAGAATGAGCTCATTTTTTTTCAGTTTTCAAACAATTTTGCTCTTCCCTTACCAAGGCTCTTGCCTGGGCTGTGAACATGCTTGTTAGCCCTGCTGTTTAAGGCTTCCCATGTTTCTTGCCCAGGAGTTCCAAAACAGAAAACCAAACATGCACGCTGCACAGTGACATCAGTGTGCATACATCACGTTACACTCGGCAGCCTATCAGCTGCGTACAGCAGTTAATCTGTGCATAAGAATCCTGGCAAAATTCCTGCGGCCCCTTTCCCAGCCAGGCGGTGCTTTAAGGAAGACAACCCTGCAGGACAGAGGGAAGCCCTACCATATCTACAGATCTTCATAAGACTTCCTTTGCAGTCACAGGTCAGCACAGGGATAAGTACACAACATCATAGAATTTTCATACCCCACTCCTGGTGTCTGTGCACACTTTACCATGAATAATCGCTTTGGAAACACTCTCCATCATTTAAAAGGCAACTCAATTACATTTGGGTTTTTTTTAAACAGTCACTGAAGTTTTTTTACTGTCTCCTCTACTGAAGGGGATGGCTATAACATGCCATTCAGATGTAAAAAAAAAAAAAGTTTCCCAAACCCAGTAGCATTACTTACTTCTAGCTTACTAGAGGTGCTCTGCAGAAAACACTAGCAGAAAAAGTATGCAAGAGAAGCTCACACCTCAAAGGGAAAACAGATCACTTCAGTCACCCTTAGGGTTAAGCAGATTGATGCTTCTGACCCGAACTAGATTTCCCCCCATCCTATAAACAAGTTTATTGCTTTAGAAGACACCTAACTGCATTAGCAGGAGAGAACAAGTGGTTTTTCCCTTCCTCACCAGACACCTCACCTCACCCATAGCTGAAGTGGGGTTAGCCAAAAGTACTGCACCTTGTTTATTTTACAGGAGTAAATCCCACTCCCATTGAGAGTCTACAGTTTGCTCTGGCCTGAAGCTCTTGGAGGGAGCTGACCCCAAGCCCCACAACCTGCTAGAACCGTTTTGTAGGTGGGAGTTTCCCTAGCAGTGGTTTGCTGATTGTCTTGGACACCAGGTGACTGAATGGTTGGCATTCTTGTAGAGCAGGCCAGTGTAAGAAAGGATTTGTGTTTTAGAAGGGGATGTGCAAGGGAGGAGAGGAATAGCTTGAACAGGAGCTTGGATCCCTTCAGAAATGGGAAGGGTTTGAAACACTTACTAGCGGCAGATCAAAAGCAGAGAAAAAGCGTGCAGCTGCTCAAACTAAAAACTGCATCAAGCTCATGCTCTCTACTCCCCCAGAAGCGAGGAATAAATCACACTGGGATCAGCACTCCTCATTGATCGGTGTTTTTCCAGACAGATCCCTCCCTCAGCTTATCAACCGACCCTTTGAACTCAAGCTGGTCTGAGGACACGAGTTCCACAGTGTTTTTTTTAAGTTAGGTTTATTTAGCAATAGAAGTATGTACATGTAAGAGAATCCCCTGCAGCACGAGACATGCACAAAGCAGTGAGGGACTGAAAGTGGTGCTGCTCAATGGCCGTCCTCATCACCTGTCATCCCACTTTACTCAGCAGCAGGGCCAAGATTAGAAAGGGACAGGTGAGAAATGTATCAGTCCACGTGGCAGAGTCTTCAGGCAGAGCCTTCCCAGCAACCAGTATTAAAACAAGCGTGCGCCATAGCCAAATGTCTGTTTAATGCCCTCGAAGTAGTAGCGTTGCCAGCCTTGCTTTGTTCTTTCTTCCTCACTGGCAGGGAAGCCCTTTTTTGTCAGTGAAGTTCAAGGTAATTGTTGCAAAGTGCCCTAAAGGAACCAAAGGAAATCTGTCAGCAGTGTGTGGTGTAGCATATGCCGCCCCAAGGAGCTGCTCTGCTCCTCTCACACAGCACCACTTAAGAGACTCCTCAAGACCCCTCCCAGAGGATCTATTTATGACAGCTTCAGGCCTTCCTCAGAAACAGAGGGAGGAAAGGGCTCCCTCTTCATGGGGTTCGAAGCAGTTGCAGCCACAGCTGAACAAGCTGCTACTCCATCGTTCCTAATCCCTGGCCGCTGCTCTAAGCGGTGGCTGATGATTCTGACCTGATCATGTGGGACATGAAGCTGGGATAAGGCTGGTGCAGCTCCCAGAACACTGTGTGCTCCCAGATCATGAGCCAGAGTGCAGTGTGGCAAATGGGGCTGGAATTCTTCAAACACAGGCAAGGGCTGTAATACCATAGTCCATTTTTGGACTACTTACCAGCTGGCCAAGATTTAAATCTCCATTTCATAACAAGTTGCTTCTCAGGGACCTTGAAAAGAGAGAAAGACTGTGTAGTAATTTTTTGCAAATCCTGCAGTCTAATAGAAAACAACTAGAATTGTGGTGCTCTGAAGCCTCAGAGACCCGTTGAGAAACACACACACACGCAAAGGGAGAGAGATTTTAAGTGTCCTTTTCTTTCCACTCCTCTTCTAGAAAGCTAGGCCATGGTACAGCCCCAAACACTGAGACAGTGTCCCTCTCCAAAAGACACTAGTGGCAGGAGGGCTGAAGAGGAAAAGGGTCAGTTACTATTTTCAGCACCCCTCCAGCCCCTAATAAATAAGTAAAATCACATAATGACAAGGCAGATGCATGACTGGAAGCCAGATTTTCTCCCCGGACTGAAATCACATACATTAATCCATACTATAAGGAACGCCTTCAATAGCCACAGCAATTGTAGATAACTACTGGGCACCAGGCAGAACTCCACAAATAGCTAACTGAAGCATTGTTACAGAATTGATACCTCAAAAATAAAAAGGCTACCCCAGACCAAGATAAGCCTGCACCAGTTAGTACTTACTAGGTCAACAAACTCTCCTGTGACACTGCCATCCAGCAACTGAAACTTGCCTCCTTTGTCAGCCTCCAAGGTGGCTTGTGCGTGGGTGAAAGCTTGGACCATCTGAAAAGAATTCAGGAAGAGACCTGTATTACTTGACATTATCTGCTTGCAAACTTGTTGCCTAATGCCTCCCACCCTGCTACAAAAGTTCTGGAAGAGGAAGTAAGTCAATAGTTCAAGGTCTTCATCAAGAAAAGACAAAACCGCTGCCCTGGCCAGAAAAGCAAGGTTATAGCCACTACAGCAGCATTCTGCCTGCCAAGGGAAAAGAACTCCTAGCCTTCATATTCTATGCAGTGTTCTGTAAGCCACACTTTGATTTACTCTGTTGACTCCTTAATGAAACCTAGTTCTAAGAAAAGGTCATCTTTTTTGCTTTTTCTTTTCTTTTTTGGAACAAAAGACCAAGACCACGTTTAAATAATGATACAACGCTGCTCTCTCTTCTTAAACTATACAAAAGTATGCAGGAGAGAGGCAGCTATTCCCAAACTACACTTTGATACCACCTAACCTTAAAAGGAAAAACCAAAACAAAACCAAAAGGCACACAGCTGTAAATCCCAAGAGATGTGACCACATGCAGTGAGGGATACACCTACAGATAGGTGCTGACAGCAGTCTGGAACTGGCTTCTGGCTGGCATTAATCCTCTCTTGTCAACTGTGTGAAAAGATGCACACGCGAGCTTTAAACAACTGTTCTGCAGAGCAGCTTTCTTATTCCATTCTCATGGATTATGAGTGTCGCACAGAATGCCTTAAAAAGCTTTAGGAACAATCTCCTATGTGCAAAGAACAATTCTCAGAACAAGCCTGGCATTACCTCCTGAGTAACAAATACCCGGTAGAGCTCCTCGGGAGATGTTAAGAAGGTGTCCTTCAAACTGATCTTACATGTAGGAATCTTGACTCCTATGGATTTGGACTGTGATGTGGCAGTGCTGCTGCTAGCGGCCGTCTAACAAAACAAGCAAAACAAATGCACACATACTTTTTTCACAAAAATCTCAACAAGTGGTTCACATATCCAAGAGAAAAAACAAAGGCCTTTGGTAAAGATGTAATTAGGTACAGCCATATTTGAGTGTAAAAAGCAGATTTATCACTCTGCTTGAATTAAGAAATATCATGTGCTGCAAATTGAAACAGTCAGGCCTATAGCACAGATTTCCAATTCCTGAACATATGTATCCTATAAACAGCATAGGTTGCTCCTGTAAGCCCTGCAATCCAATACTGTGTACCTTTCTTCACAGATCCAAAAGCATGTTTGCACAGTTTTATTTACCTTGCGGTCTTCTGCTTTAGGAGCCACCTGAGGTGTTGTTTCCATATGTTCACCATTCACTGTGGGCAAAATCATGCCCTGGGTGAATTCTGGAAAGACAGGAATGCGCCCATGAAACTAATAGAAGATCAAGTAAACCTTTCAAATGTTCTTTGAAATATACAACCAAAAAGGGCTTCCTGGTTTCTCCCCTGCTCTTGCTAGCACCCATTACCTGAAACAGTTTTAATGCTGCTCTCAATGTTAGCCTTACACTTACATAGCTTTTTCTCTCTCTCTTTCTCTCTCTCTCTCTAACATAAATAGCAAGCACATCTCAATTACTTTTCTCTTGCTAGTCTAGACAAACCAAACCGAACTTTTCCATTTCTTTTCATACTGGCTCTCCATTTCTCATACCCAGGGGAGGTCTTACCAGTGCCCTGTCCAGCAGCACCAGCACTTTTATAACTCCACCAGAAGCTTCAGCCTCTTTCAGCATCATGTTTGCTTTTTCTCCAGCTCTATCACTTCTGCCTTAACTAATTATAGAACAGTTTCCTCTTTCTCCTTCCTCTTTACCTGTTCAAACTGGCAAAATTCCATTTGATAGCAGTATTTTATTATATATGTATAATCTTGTATCCCACAATACTTAGTTCCCACCTATTCTTATTTATTCCAGCCCACAAGATCATACAGTTCTTCCTGAATAACATTCTCATCTTCCACTGGGTGATTGCACCTCCCACCCTGAACACTAGAACAACTGAAAAAACCCAAGGGTACAGAAATTTGATCCTGGAAGAACAGCAACCAGTGGTGGTTTGTACTCAGCAAAACTTGAATATCTAGCATGTGTAGTGTAATATAGGTAAATGGATATAAAACCCAACTGTAGAATTCCCAGCCCGTACTAGAGTGCAAAGCTGAACTCAACCAAAGCACACTGATTTAATTCCAACTGCTGGAATCAGATTTATCTTCTAAAAAAAATAATTATTTTGATCCAGATGCTGAGACAGCTCATTCAATGACATCAACAAAACCTGCAGAGCAATTTCCAGTTGTCAGTTACTCTCAAATCCAAGTAACACTAGATGCCTTTACTAGCATGGCAAAAGAGAAAAAACAACAAACTAGAGAGGAGATGCCACTTTCCAAGGGACTAAGCAAACTAAAGGCCAGACTGTGCCACATGTGATGACTGATACTCTGTGTCACTGGGGTAGCAAACACAGTTTACTGGCTTTATTTTCTCTATAGCTGAACTTCAGCGTGTGAAGGACATTTTAAACATAAATCCAAAAATGCTGTTTATTATTGGGTTATCACCAAAAACAATCTTTCTGGGCTGCGCTACAGTGTCTAAAAACAGAAATGCTTCTTGCCAAATGCTAACCATTTTCAAAAGAGGCGGAAAAGTTACTGTTGTTGCTCTGACACCTTCCTGTTGAGATGAGGTGAGGAACTAATATTCACACCCTCATTAACCCCATTCCTTCTTTAGCATTAGCCCATATGGATTCCCAAAACACTTCTCCCTCTCAGTTACATACCTGTTTTGAGAGTGCTGATGTAAGTTTTTATTGCATCTCTAATTTTTTTTGCACCCTCTTGCTTCATCAGGGTCTTCAAATTAGTGTCAGGCTCATCTTTAGCAAGGCTGACATGGATCTAAACAAGAAGGACAAGTGCTGATTAGCAAAGCCATACTTGCAGGGTCCTTTTATTACTCAGTTAAACATCACAGACTTCAGCTGAACTCTCACAAGCAGCAGTGCAGTTTTGTTAGTCTTTCGCTTCATCTCTCTCAGCCTACAGTAATGTGTACATGCACCTAAATATCTTCATGTGCTATAGAGCCCTAATATCTACAAGACGGGAATTAATTGATAAAGATACAACACAATGTGGGACTCTTTATCAGGGAGTGCAGTGACAGGATGAGGGATAACGGGTTTAAAATGAAAGAGGGTAGATTTAGATTAGATATAAGGAAGAAATTCTTTACTGCGAGGGTGGTGAGGCACTGGAACAGGTTGCCCAGAGAAGCTGTGGATGTCCCATACCTGGAAACATTCAAGGTCAGGTTGGACGGGGCTCTGAGCAATGTGGTCCAGCGGAAGGTGTCCCTGCCCATGGCAGGGGGGTTAGAACTAAATAATCTTTAAGGTCCCTTCCAACCTAAACTATTCTATGATTCTATTAACTTAAGCAGTCTCTAACACTAATAAAGTTCTACACAAATGCTCTAAAAAAGGTAACATGGAAGGAAATATTAATGCTATGAGGATTCCCATTAGAACAGCCATACAGCCAGCACTATTAGCCGTTAGCTATGCTTACCTCAACTTCATCGGCGTCATTCTCATCTGAGAGATTAGGAATCTCCACATAACCTTTGTATTTCACCCCTGTCTTTGAGGTGCCTGCAATTACAATTATGTTGTTCATATCAACGTTTCTTACTTGCTGTTGTAAAAGCAAACTGGTATTGTATCACTACACAATCCTTTCCTTTATTACTATTTCCCAAATGAGATAAATATCACTTATCCTTAATCTTATACTTGAATCTGGCCTTGAAACAGGAAGGGAGAACATCACTCACCAGTCCATGCCAGCTTGATAGCCCACTCGTAGAAGAAAATGAGTTTCCCTTTGCGGTTGTTAATGGAGGCCTCTCCATCCAGTTTGCTCACTTCTGTCACCTCACAAGCCCCTTCCTCGCCCTCCACCCTGACGGGCAGGAGGAGACTTTTCAGCCGCTCCGTGGACCAGTTGGAGGCATCCCGCTCTGTCCTGCGAGAAAACCGGGTGGTGTGAGGGCCTGGGGCAGGCCGCACCACCAGCACGCGCGGGGACTACCTAGCCTTCCCCCGGTCCTTCCCCTTCCCTGCCCCGCTCCAACACGCCCGCACACAGCCCTTCCCCGCAGCACCCTCCCAGGCACTCCCCGGCCTCCCCAAACGCACCGGCTCGGGCACCCTTCTCCCTCCCCCCGGAAGGCGGGGGCCTTCCCGGGGCATCAGCCCGGACACCCCCGCCTCAGCACC